CCACGAGTATCTGACTCCAAATGGCCCAAATCTATTCAATTCAATTCTATATCATAAATAACATCGCAAGCAACTGATTCTACTATTTAATTCAAGGCTAAGGCGCGAAAATAGGTAAAATGACCAAAATGCCCCTCAGGCCAACGTCTCGGAATCAGATAATTTTCATATTTTTGGAACCCTCGTACACTCACGAGTCTAACCATATAAAAATCTCCCAAATCGGAGGTCAAACACCCACTCAAAACTCAATAGTTTGGTCTAAGAAATTTTTCCCAATTTTCATTCAAAAATCTGAAATTAAGGGGGTATTTGTGATTAGATTAGTGGGTTATAAGCATAAGAGAGTAGAGAATCGTTACCCAGTAGTTGCCCTCGAAAAACCTTTGAAATTTCTCCCAAATCCGAGCTCTCAAACTTGTATTTTGATAAAAATGGCAAAACCCTCATTTTTGAATGTTAAGTACTGTTCATGTCCATTATGCATCGCGAACGCGGGAGTAAAGTCACGTTCGCGAAAAGGAAATATCTGAGTTGCCAAAAATGCCCTTCACGATCGCAAAGGGAAGAGTGCGAACGAGAAGGCCTGGGGGTCATGAGCTACACGAACGCGACGTCGTGAACGCGAAGAGAAAATAGTGAAACTTCGCGAACACGGAAGGGTTATGCAAACGTGAAAGAGGAACTGGCCACAACTACGCTTATGCGGGAAAGGAGTCGCGAACACGAAGAAGAAACTGGGACCTGCACAGCTGAAGGATTTTCTGCAATATTTCAAACTCCAAAATGCTCCGTTGAGCATCCGAAACACACCCGAGGCTCCCGGGACCTCAACCAACCGTACGGACATATCCCATATTATCATTCAAACTTGTACCAATTCATAAACCACCTAAAAAATGCTTGAAACTCGAATTAATCAATGATTTAAGCCTAAGAACTTCAAATTTCAACAAAACACGCTTTCGATAAAAAACTCAACCAAAACACGTCCGATTGACCTGAAATTTTGCACGCACGTCCCAATGACATGACGGTGCTACAGAAACTTCCAGAATTCCATTCCGACCCTCGGATCAAAAACTCACTATCGGACCGAAAACTTCAAAAATTCACACTTCAGCATTTCAAGCCTTAATTAGCTACGGACTTCTAAAATACATTCCGGACATGCTCCCAACCCCGAAAGCACCTAACAAAGCTAACAAAACCATCGGATTTCTATTCCGAGGTCGTCTTCACACTGTTACGACTACGGACCACTTTCCAACACTTAAGCTCTCATTTAGGGACCAAGTGTCCCAAAACTCTCTAAAACTCAACACCGGACGTCCCAGCAAACCAAAATAGCATAAATAAACTTAAGGGAAGCAGTTAATGGGGGATCGGGGCGTAAATTCAAAAAATGACCGGTCGGGTCGTTACAGGGGGACTTCGAGAAGAAGCACTCATACCAAAAGCAAGCCCGGGGACACCTATATGCGTAAAAGCCTCCTGCAGCAACCTCGCCGCATCAATAGGACTGGGAAAAATGTCCTCCTCGGGGACGACAACTGAGCCTTGGGTAGACCTGAGTCCAATAGGAGAGAAAAGTTAAACAACTTCCTGATACGAAAAGGTAAAAACAAGATGAGCTTACTTTACCATGAATTTTGGCCTTGCACCTATATTTAAGGGACATTTCCTTCCACGTACAAGTATCAGGTGTAGTAACGTCCAAAATTTTCTAGACCCACTAATCAAGGCCTCCAACCCTAGGTGAAATCCACCGAGTCACTGAAATAAGCGAAAGAAAATGGGTTAATAACGATATGGAATGATCTTTAACGGGATAAAAGAGAAATGGTGAACTTACGAGTGCGATTCCATAATTTCGAGAAGGATGAAGCCGTAGCCGGAGTAATGTCCCTGGTGACAATGGTCCACCCACGATCATTGTCATCATCCATGATGGATAGCAGAGTATGGTGGCCGCACTTGTTCATCAATTGAGCTAAGGTTAGCTCTTCTCCCGTCTCCTGGCGTCATCAGCTTTACCTTTGTTCGGTTTCTGGAAGAGCAGGCCACTTCTTTTCAGAAAAGAAGGGAAGTTCTCTCTCAAGAAGAAGGTTAAAGAAAGCTTAAAGACAAAGTACGAGTTGAGTAAAAGAGATTTCGAGAAAGTGTAGAGAATTATGAAGTATAAATGAAGAGGTTTGATGCGTATATGTAAAGATACATGCGGCTCAAATCGTAGCCATAATTACCTCAATAACCAGCAAAAGTGATGTTAAGTCGTAGGATGACGCGTGTTCGGGGCATTAAATGCAGAGAGACATGCGTCAAATGAACCATCAGAAACTTTTCAGGGGGGCTCAGAGAATTTCCTGCCAAAAAAGGTACTTCTACCAACTTCCCGATGACACAAAGTTATGTCACCGGAAATAGGGAGACTATTTGCATGGGGTAAAATATGTTCGTATTTAATGATCGCACGAGAACGCGACACGTGGAACCGAATGCAGAAGATAGTCAAACCCGAAGGCAATGATCTCGCTTGTCACCGGAGAGAAGGATGCTCATAACGACAAAATTAATGTCGTCATCTGGTAGCATTCAATGAAGAATATTCTACAACATTAAATGCATGGTCTGTTACAGAGAATATGACATTCATTGCCACCGTTACATATCCTTTTAATGGCGTTCAAAATTGTCATTAAAGAGAAGCTTAATCCTAGTAGAGCTTAATCATAGGACCTTGTTATTTAGGTACAACTATAAATAGTGAGCTCTATCATCATTGTAAAAGACACGATTTCTCTGACAAACATATACTATATGCTATCAAAAACTCAATAACACTTTATTTTCTTGCTTATTTGCTTTGTTCTTATTGCTCCCGATAGCTCTGCGCCCGGAACCAAAAAATCTGTTGTCTATTTTAATTTTAAGGCTAAATCTTATATTTCTATCTAATTTATCTTTAAATTTTTAGATTAAATTAATTCGCTTATCTATAAATTACGTATAAATTCAACTGTACCGTTTTATGGTAAACACAAGTGTATTTATGTAAAACTCATGCTCCTGGAAAATGCAGTAAACATTGGTTGACTCTCCTAATTAGTTAACATAAGTTTCTCGAAAGCATGGATTAGAATAATTAAGAAATTAGAGGATGAAATCATATATTTTCAAAAGTAAGTGATTGTTAGAAAAATATTGTAATTAGTGGACTTCTTAACGGTAATGATTCTTGTCTATTGCCAGCTCAAGTACTGGCTATATTATTAATTAATTTCTGATTACACAACTTTTGGACGGATAAAACAACTACTCCATAAGTAGGTAGTTTTGGTTCAGATGTAAATTTGATGGGTTCATGAACATATTATATTTTTTAAATTATAGCTTCAAAATATGTTATTTATTATATAATTTTAGTAATTTCTCAAATTTATATTTATGGTTCATGTTAAAAATATTAAACTATACTAAAACCAATAAATATAAACTGGTATCTGAATGATTAGACGTACATATTAAATTCGAATTTTAATATTATATACAAAGCTAGGTATTTGAGTTAAAAGTAAAGTAGAGTAGGGGTGGGCATATATCGGGTAAAACCGATAACCCGAACCGTTAATTCTTTATTGGGTATTGGGTTAACGGTTTGGTAACGAGTTAATTTTTTTTTTATTGGGTTATCGGTTCGGGCTCGGTTTGCATTTTTGTTATTGGGTAAAAACCGATAACCCAATAAGAATGATATAATTTACTAATTTACCCTTAAGTATATACTAGGGTTATTTATTTTCCTAATTCCCTCTTCACTCTTCAGTCGTTTGTCTCTCAGTTCTCATTCTTGTTTCCGTCGCAGCCCCCAAGAGTCAAGACGCAAGACTCACCACCAGTTCTCCGCCAGACATCAGTAGATACTGCACAGAAGTGGGAGCGTGCTTTTGTTAAGAAACAACAAAAGTTGGCAGTTTACACGTTCTGGCAGTTTGATTTCTTTGTTTTATATGTTGCAAATTTTTTTAGTTGTTTTATGTTATCGGGTAAACCGATAACCGAACCAATAACGATATATAACCGATTAACCGATAGCCAATATCTTATCGGTTTTGTTATCGGATTATGATATTTGTAAACCGATAACCGATAGGCAAAACCGATAATGTTTAAAACCGAACCGAACCGACCGATGCCCACCCCTATTAGTAGAGTTGCATCAACTGGCATCAGGCAAAAATCTCACATGAGATTTTATCCCAATAATAAACAAAAACCACTAACTGTAGGTATACTTATTCTTTTCTTTTTATTATTTTTATCTTTGAAGAATGTGATAGTACTACAGGAGATTAGGAGCCACTATTAAGAATTGTGGTGCAATAAATAAAATTCCTTTATTATTAATCACACGTCTTAGATTTGAGCCTTAAAAATAATAAAAAATTATAAGAGAAAGTGCTCTATTTTTAAGAGTCGTTTGGCAGGATATATTAGAAAATAATAAGTATGTACTATTAGTTATATGTCATATTCAGTATTATTCTTATACATATCAAACTATGACATAATATATGGATAAGCATGTATAAAGATAAAACTGCCTTTTCAAAATCTTTTTTAAATTGTTGAAGGGTATTTTTGTAAACAAATCATTTAAAAAAAAATAATGGGATGCATGTCATTTTTAATATACCAAACCAAATAGTCGATGGAAAATAATTTAGCATAACTAATCATAGCATTACTAATACTCAGTATTATTCTTATACACCTTCCCAACCGATCCTTAATGAATCTTACACTAGATAAATCAAAATTTTAAGGAGCCCAAAAATAATTAGGNATATATATATATATTTGTCAAAATAATTAATAGTAGCAAACTAATGCAAGGGTGTCATGTGGACATTGACAAGGAAAAGAAGAGAAAAAAGAGTCCATTGGCAGCCTGTACTTCCATCATTATTTTTCTTATTACCAAACACATAAATAAATAATCAATTCTTTTATTTTTCTTTCTCTTTCTCTTCCCTTCTTTTCCCCTTTTTCCCCTTTCAAGAACCCTAAACCATTCCAAATCCAATTTCTTTTCCCTCTATGTAATTTCCCGTCCTTTGTTAAAAACCCTAACTTGCGAGCTGTCAGTTTTCAATTTCAGTTATTTGCAAAAATAGCCACTTTTAATATCTAATTTGTTAAAAATGGTGTGAATTCTGGGTAAATTTTCAAATTTTGCAGAGTTGGATATTTTTGTAATATCTTTGATCTGCCGGTGAGGAATTTGTTTGGGGTTCTAATCCGGCAATAAACGAAGAAGAAGAGGAGACAATTGGAGGCCCAAAAAATGGCGAATTTGGACTTGCAAATGAACCCACAAATGGAGCAGATCCATGGAGAAATTCGTGATAATTTCCGAGCCCTAGCGTAAATTCTCCCTTCTTTTCTTATTCTTTTTTCATTTAATGAATAGTTGAATACTGTTGATTTTTTTTTTCTTTCCAATTTTGATGTGCATTATTTGTGTTTAGATATAATAATTTGAAATAAAAGGGGCCTAAATGAAGCAGCACGGGTATAGAGGATTCATATAGCCGACCACAACTAGTTTTGGATTGAGTCATAGTTATTTTATTTTTAATGACGATGGTGTCTGGGCCAGCTTGTGCGTACCCCAACCATTCCGATGTGTACCTGCTACCTTACTGGTACCGGGTAACTTTGCATGCCAAAGCTTAGGCAAATGGGAAAAAGCCACCTACTGTTTGTTGCCTCTGCTCGGATTGAGTCGTAGTTATTGTAGTAGTTACTTCTTGTTGTAGAGATAAAAATGGAATCTTTTAAGCTTGTACTGTAGGATAGAGCAGTTAATTCAGATATGATTGAAGTTATTGTAGTTGTTGTTTCTCGTTGTAGAGATAATAATGGAATCTTTCAGGCTTGTACTGTAGGATAGAGCAATTAATTGAGATATTATAAAATATAATGAAACCTGGCTGCCTTTCCTTTGCGGGAAGGGCTCTGAATTTAATTGATTTATATTCTTATGGTTCAACAATGAAATGTGAGAAGTCTCCCTCTCATAGCAGAATAGCTATAATGAAAAACCCGGATTGTTAAATCTTTATTTTTTCCCATTTTGATGTCTTGGGTGTAACTCCACCTGTGTGCATGTGCAAAAGCATAGAACTTGGATTAGAAAAGATGGTTGTGGTAGGTTAATGGATAGACTAAACAAATAGTCTAATGATATAGGGGATTCTTATTGCCAACCCAGCTAATTGGGGGTTGAGGTTTAGGTGATTCATTGATTTGAAGTGGGGTGGAACTCAGCCTACGTGCATGTGCAAAAGCATAGAGCTTGGACACAGGAAAGTATCGTGGTAGGTTGATGACTAGACTAAACAAATAGTCTAATTATGACACACACGATTTTGTATAGCCCGTTCCAACTTGTTTGGCATTGAAGGTTAGTTAATTGATTGATTTGGACTTGGGGTTTGGTCGGCGTCAGTTAGAGATTTAAGTTAGTTTGTGGTGGAGCTCCTTTGAGAGATGTCTTCTAACATGTCATGAATTCTGATGTGGTTTCAGTATCTACTGAGTAATTATCTTTGTTGGTTAGTAAATTTGTTAGTTATTATAGTTGCTTAAACTCTTCTTTCTGAGGAATGATTGTCAAGTTATTGCTCTTGATTTAATAGTCCCATTTTACTTTTTTAGCTAGTCAAATAAGCCCATAATATGGGCCCCAGATGTTTTATAGATGAGACAAAAAATGTTAGAGACTGAATTACTAAATGAATTATCTTAATGGAGAATGAGAAACTATGGCGTTTACTAAGTGACTGTACGTAGGACCAATAACAGATAATAGGAGATTATACAACAACAACAACTACCCAGTATAGTCCCACAGAGTGGGGTCTGGGGAGGGTAATACGTACGCAGGTCTTACCCCTACCCGAAAGGGCAGAGAGGCGGTTTTCAATCGACCCTCGGCTCAGGAAAAGGAAAAGGAAAAGAAAAAAACAAAAACAAAAACAAAATAGCATTAGTAACTCCAGTAGAAATCACATAAATAATTATGTAAACATAAACCATAAATAACATGGCATGCAAAAGGAAAAGATAAACAAAAACAAAAAACAAAACGACATTAGTAACTCCAGCAGAAATCACATAAATAATTATGTAACCATAAACCATAAATAAAATGGCATGCAATAACAACGACCAGTAACTACCATAAGGGGGCACAATACAATACACAAATCATCTATGGAGAGCCCCACCAAACCCCGCCCAACCCCGGGAAAGAAGTGCGAAAAATTCTAGAAGTCCCTATCCTACAACCCTGATACTAGACCTCTAGACTTTCCTATCAAGGGCCATGTCCTCGGAAACCCGCATTCTAGCCATGTCCTGCCTAATCGCCTCTCCCCAATACCTCCTGGGCCTCCCTCTGCCTCAACTCGCGCCAACCACCGCCAGCCGCTCACAACTCCTCACCGGGGCATCGGGGCCTCTCCTCCGCACATGCCCGAACCACCTGAGCCTCACTTCCCGCAGCTTCTCATCCACTGGGGCCACCCCCACCGTTTCCCGAATAACTTCATTCTTAATCTTATCCAACCTGGTGAGCCCGCACATCCACCTGAGCATCCTTATCTCCGCAACCTTCATTCTCTGAACATGAGAGTTCTTCACCGGCCAGCACTCCGCCTCATACAACATGGCAAGTTTAACCACAGCTCTATAAAACTTTCCCTTGAGTTTCTGTGGCACTTTCTTGTCACACAAGACTCCTGATGCAAGCCTCCATTTCGACCACCCTGCCCCTATACGGTGAGTGACATCCCCGTCGATCTCTCCGTCCCCCTGAATCACCGACCCAAGATATTTGAAACTGTCCCTCTTGGCGATGACCTGAGATCCAAGCTTCACGTCCCTGCCTACTTCTTCTTCGCTCGACTCAGCGCTAAACTTGCACTCTAGGTATTCTGTCTTAGATCTGCTTAGTTTGAAACCCTTAGACTCGAGAGTCTGTCTCCAGACCTCCAACCTCTCGTTAACACCGACCCTCGTCTCGTCTATCAAGACTATGTCATCAGCAAATAGCATACACCATGGCCCATCCCCTTGAATATGGCGTGTTAGAGCAACCATCACCGAAGCAAATAAGAGGGGGCTAAGCGCAGATCCTTGATGAAGCCCCATAACTACCGGGAAATGGTCTGAGTCGCCACCCACCGTCCTAACCCTAGTCTTAGCTCCATCGTACATGTCCTTGATCACTATGATGTAGGCTTCCGGCACGCTCTTCGCCTCCAGGCACCTCCATAGCACCTCCCTTGGGACCTTGTCGTACGCCTTCTCCAAGTCGATAAATACCATGTGCAGGTCCTTCTTCTTATCCCTGAAATGTTCCACCAATCTCCTGACAAGGTGGATAGCTTCTGTAGTGGAGCGGCCCGGCATGAAACCGAACTGATTCACGGATATAGGCATCATCTCCCTCACCCTCGCCTCAACCACCCGCTCCCAGACTTTCATGGTGTGGCTTAGTAATTTGATACCCCTATAGTTGTTACAACACTGGATGTCCCCTTTGTTCTTATACAAGGGCACCACTGTACTCCATCTCCACTCCTCCGACATCCTCTTAGTCCTGAAGATCACATTGAACAACCTGGACAGCCACTCCACTCCTGTCCTACCCATGCATTTCCAGAACTCCACCGGGATAGATAATAGGAGATTATGATATCACAAATTAATGCTCTTTCATTTGTTACTCGTGTCCGCATAATTGCTATTTGCTTCTTTGTCCATTATTGCGCTCTTCATAACTTTTTGGTTAAAATAGTAAAATATTGAAGGATGATATGACACCACCAAGGTTTATAGTCTAGTAGTATCAGTGGGATTCTTCCAAACTTTAGGTATAGGTTTGATCCCCGTACCCGCTTTCCCCGATCCCATTATGAAGAACAAAATTGAAGGATGATATGACATTATAATTAAAATGGTAAAATATTGAAAGACTTATACGGCTATGAATACATTCATAATTGAAACTTTTTAGATCGTTACGTAGTGCACTAAACGACAAACTTGAAATATATACTTTAGTTAATGGATTGAGAGAGATTGTAATACTCCAGTTTGTTAGTTGTACATAGGGGATACATTATGTTCATTCCATTCTTGCTCTAATAGTTTGTTAGTTACAAAGGATGCCTGGTCTTATTAAGATTGTGCTTTTTGCCTGCCGGTGAAGATATTTTATTGTAACTGTTAGCTCGCTGGTTTTAATCATGACGCCGTCCCCACTAGCTTGGAGATTGTGCTTTGTTTCTATTGTTTCATTGAGAGTGCTTTGTGGTGCTTTTCTCTTTCCTACCAGATTTTTGTTCCTTAACAGGCAATACCTGTGCATGGACCTGACCATTTCTTTTCACTACATTTTACCCTTATTTGCATGTTTTTTTTTCTATTTTTCCTCAGAAATGGTTTTCAAAAGCTGGATAAGATCAAAGATTCCAACAGACAGAGTAAACAGTTGGAAGAGCTTACAGGGAAGATGAGAGAATGTAAAAGGTAGCACTTTTTATCTTCTCCCCGATTCCATACTTGTATAGATGGAATTGCCCATCTTTAGTGATGACACATTTGTTCTTTCAATTTTTCGAGAATTATGTTTGATCCTTCAAAATAAATTAAGGAATTCAAACAATTAGGATACTGGGTTTATGTCTAACCCGAATAAACTTTATTTTCTAAATTTTGGAAAAAGGTCTCAAGATTTTTTTTTGAATTGGTAACTATTGTATATATTATAAATATCAGTACATAGGTTGCACTGAAAACCAAATTTACATGGAGAGAATTTGGAGATGTTCTAAAAGGTCTCAAGATTTTTTTTTGAATTGGTAACTATTGTATATATTATAAATATCAGTACATAGGTTGCACTGAAAACCAAATTTACATGGAGAGAATTTGGAGATGTTCTAAAAGGTCTCAAGATTTAAAAACTCAATACCGACCAAAAGACATTATAGTATTTATTTGCTCCTGAATTGTGTCTGCTCTTTACGAGTTCTTATTTCTAGTTTACTAAGGTTATTAGAATGCTCAACTTTTATCAGAAGTAACTGTGTTATTACTTGTGAATTCGAATAATTAGTTTTCCTGTTATAGTGATCATTAATACTTTTACTTTCCAATTCTTCAAGGTTAATTAAAGAGTTTGATCGTGAAATTAAAGATGAGGAGAGTAGAAATCCTCCTGAGATCAGCAAACAACTCAATGATGAGAAGCAATCAATGGTAAGTTGGAATCTCTTATTAAGAAAAGGGGTTTGTCGGAATCCCATATGGGCTTGCAGTGGTAAGCAACCCATGCACTCCAATGGTTGATTATCTTAGTTTATTCTATAACCATATGCTTATTTTGATTCATCCATTTCCCTTTTCCTGTGCGCTGCGCTATGGCCACTGTCGTTCTGAACATAAGCTTTTATCAAAGAGTGAGATTTGAAAAATAATAAATAACCAACAAAACTAAGCGCACAGTCTCAGCCTACTGTAGTTACAAAAAATGCAATTACCTTGAATGGAGAAACAATTATCCCTTTTGATTTACTTAACATTGTTTACTTTTGGAAGGGACATTCTATGTTACTAAACTCTCAATTTTAGGGTTACTGGATAAGCAATGAGTTCCTAATTGACATAAGTTTTTATGCTTTTAACAGGAATTGAATTGAGACTTTCATGATTTGTGCACTTCGGCATTATAGTTTTGGTTATTTTTGCTTTCCTCATATTTTCTTTGCTTCCAAGTGTACTATCAAGCTGTCTGTGAATCCACATAAAACTTGAGCCACCAATCCTGTGGCACATCCTTCAAAACCATCATGTTATTGTCTTTCGGTGTCTGTCTTCTCTTATTAATCACAAGCTGCACTTTTCCACTTTGGATCTCCATAAAAAAGGTTGTTATGAAGGGATCAAGATAGTGGGTGCTAATATCAATTTCGGGCATTGTCTTAGCGGACCCCAATGTGTTCGGGACCGAGGCGTAGTAATAGTAGCAGTAGTCTTTGCCAGACTAACATTTTGGTTTGGTCCATTTACTGGACTAATATTATGCATACCACTTCTGCGGAATACTGTTCTAAATTTGCTTAATTTTGCAGATCAAAGAGCTAAACTCATATGTGGCCCTGAGAAAAACGTGAGTTAACTCCTCCAATTTTTCTTTCTCCACTCTGGTTTCTGCTCCCAGAAAAGTTTCATCTCTTTTTATCTCAACTTGGGTGCCGTATCACGTAGAATTTGATTGTGTAGAATGTTTGGAGGCTGGATATGTACTTTGCTGTTAATGAACTTTTGGATTTGCATGGCTTGGTTTGTCCATTATATAATGTGTATACACAAAGCCGACTCAAGGCTGCAATCCCAGTATACATCAATAGGCTATTACTTGTCAATAAAGTTACTCTACAAAAATTGATTGACACGATTTTGTCATTCAAAGTTCTAACCTTCTAATTCGTGGGTTGGTTTTTGACATCAATTAGATTAACTTCTTCAGAAGAAAATTTCTTCTATTTGGAAACTATGGAAAAGTAGTACAGACCCACATTTTTAATAAGTCAAAGTTTTTGAAAAGGAATTTATTTTTTAAAAGTTCAAGAAAATTGTGGCCAATGAATAGTTATTTGAGTCTCGAAAAGAATTCCTAAAAACCTGATGCTGCTCCTTCAATATCTGATTATTATTTTAGGTCTTTGATACAGTTAATGGATGCTATCTGTTACCTCTCTTCTTTCCGTTGCTGCTATGCAGGTATATGAGCAGTCTTGGCAATAAGAGGGTTGAACTATTTGACATGGGAGGTGCAAGTGAACCAACAGCAGAGGAAAATGTCCAAATGGCATCAGGTTGGAACAATAACCCATTAGTACAGCGAAATTTTGTACAAAGGTTCAACTGGGAAAATCATTAGATTTTACTTTAAATCAAGAATTCACAAGCTACAAAATCTGAAATGCACAAACTTAGGACATATGAGGCAAAGTGGTCCATATTTTCAAATTCCATCTAGGTGTGATTGTTGTAGAGTCGAACTGAAGATAGATTTATAACTAGACTCTTGTTGTTTTCATTTTCCCCTCTATCTGATTCTTGGCATATTGGGGTCTAAAAAGCTTGACGGAAGAATTGGCTGCCATGGATTCGTGGAATGGGAATAGACTTCTATATGAAAAGGAAAAGAGGAGGAAACTGGGTGTGATATCATGTCTGAACAAAACACCACCTAGTCATGCACGACTCTTCAGCATGTATCCATGTTTAGATTCTGAAATGAGAAAGCCATGATTCACACAGTCAACTTGTATACATAGCTTTTTGTTTTACTATATGTCACAGTTTTTGCTTGTGAAAGTGCTCCATTTCCCTTTGTTTGAAGAGAAATCCTAACTGTCAAAACAAAATTGACTGAAGGGGAGAGGTCTAGGGAGCATATTTATAATAAAGTTCTGACTTCGTTTAGCTTCTCTTTTCCAATTGTTCGGACTTTGATGGAAGCATTTCTCTGAAGTAATTTTTGCTTAGTTTTCCATTAATAGATCTTAATATGCATTGCTTTATACTGTATTAGCCCCCCCCAAAAAAGAGGCATAGTGTTTATATGGGCTCTGTAGAACGTGTATATGGCCTGCTGTTCCATTCAACTATGTTTGTTCCTTTTAACCATATCTTAGAAGCCGGAACACCTGGTACATATCCCCCGGTCGGCGTGCTCTGCGATTACTAGTGATTCCAGCTTCACGTTCCTGAGTTGTAGAGAACAATCCGAACTGAGACAATCTCTCTGGATTCGCTCACCTACAGCCCTCCTTTCCAGTGTAATTGCCACTTTAGCACGTGCATAGCCCAGCCCATGAGGGCCATTGCCGATTTGACGTCCTCTCCGCCTTTCTTCCTGTCTATCGTTGGCAGTCTGTCACGAGTGCGGCATGCATCTGTTAAACAACCTTAAGAAGCTATGAAGAATTAAAATATTACCTTTTGCCTTTTGTGATTGCAAAAAGACCTGCTGCACTTTCTTGCCACCATCTTTTTTTACCGGCACGGCAACGATAACATGTGACTAATTACCCCTACTACCTTAGGAGTCACTATTTCAATTATGTGTCACAGCCTGTTCTATTTTGTAATGGTGCTGATAAGCTTTCCGTCTTATATCTTGTCTGCTCCGCATCTATGTGAAGATGAGCGGAAAATCATCCATGTTCATGTGTCAATTTTGTGTTTATACTAGCTGTGCATATCCAATTTGACCTAGCAATAGTTGGATGCATCACTTGACTGTTTATACTTCATATCTTAATTTATCGTTATGAGAATGCATCCAAGCAACTTGTGGACTCATTTTCTGGTCTTCTCATTCATTTAAATTTTCTTGCAGCAATGTCAAATCAGGAGCTTATCAGTGCTGGAAATAAGACAATGGATGAAACTGATCAAGCCATTGAACGGTCCAAACAGGTACATAGTTCATTTTGGCGCTGCTTCAGGATATCTATCATCCGTATTTTAAGCTTATTTTGGGATATCTACCATTCATATCTTAAGCTTATATCTAATCTGTAGGTTGTTCACGAAACAATTGAAGTGGGAACACAAACTGCTACTACCTTGAAAGGCCAAGTGAGTATCATCATAATTGTTCATCTCCTTTGTTTTGTTGGTTTTAGGAAATCCGTATAATTTTTGGTAGTCTCTTTGTTACGCAGACTGATCAAATGGGTCGTGTTGTCAATGAGCTTGACACAATTCAATTCTCCATTAAAAAGGCATCCCAGCTTGTCAAGGAAATTGGACGGCAGGTGTGTTTGTAAACTCCCCCATATTTGTGCCATAGACTTTTTGTGTTCTTTCTTTCTCTTCGTAGATTAATTAATCTAGCTCCCAACTTTTTCAGGTTGCCACGGATAAATGCATCATGCTTTTCCTCTTCCTCATTGTCTGTGGTGTTGTTGCCATTATTGTTGTGAAGGTAGTCTCTCATGCCATGGGTTAGTTTAAGCAAATAAATATATTGTCAATATCCTTGCTTTGTTCAACTCAAGACCACATATTGCTGTTCTGCCACTTATCACCTACAAAAAAAAAGGAGCTGCCGTTTTGCTTAAAATTGTAGATGTGTAGGTCATGGAACTTCGGAATAAGGCTTTCCACTTTTTGAGATTGTTATATGTTATTGCTATGCTTTAGTGTCTACTGTCTGCATGGATGCATAAAAGGGCTCATATTTTTCTATGCAAGTGCTGAGGGAAAAAAGGTGTTGATTGTAGTTGGTGACATCTTCGGGCTCTCACTATTTTTAGCCTATTTCTGCATTCAATGTCTGCAATCTGTTAAGCTTTTCACTTGACTATGTGCTAAATTTTCTGTTTAACGGCTTCTTTTCTTATGTTTTCAGATTGTGAATCCTCACAACAAAGACATAAGGGATATCCCTGGACTGGCTCCTCCAGCGCCTTCAAGGAGATTGCTATATCTAAAGCCTGGACAAGATTTCGTGTAAATCTGTAAGGATGGATCCATCCAATTTTCTATATGGTGCCACTGTAAAGAAGTATCAGAGGAATGCTATTCATGGAGAGCTGTTTGTTTACTGTGATCTCCTTGCCTGAGTTGTGCATACCGTATTTGCNTGCAGATAATGCACATGGATTATGATGCAAAGTTTGGTTTGCAATTTTCTCCTTTGGTTACTTGAAACTGCAGATACAAAGGACCCTCTGGCTATTCCCTTAATAGGTGCCAAGTGCTGAGCCATGGGGTCGGGATAGACGGATTTAGGATTTAAAGTTAGTG